AAAAAAAAAAAAAACCAGAAAGAAAGAAAGCCTTTATGATACTTGGGCAGCCTGTAAATCTTGGGTAGGATTGAAATATAGTTAGTCCTCTACTTACAATAACCAACAACAAATTTTTGACTTTATTTTGGTGCCACAGCAATATACATTCAGTAGAAAATGCATTTCAAGTACCCATACAACCATTCTGTTTTTCACTTTTAGCACAGTACTTAATAAATTATATGAAATATTCAACACTTTATTAGAAAACATGCTTTGTGTTGGATGATTTTGCCCAACTGTAGCCCAGCATAGGTGTTCTGAGCACATTTAAGGTAGATGTGGGGAAGCTGGGATATTTGGTAAGCGAGGTGTATTAAATGCATTTTCTACTTATAATATTTTCAACTTACGATGGGTTTATTGGCATATAACCCCATTGTAAGTTGAGGAGCATCTGTAACCAATTCTTTTATCCACTGGAGGCTGAGCATTGGCCAATATTTAATCCCAGATTGGTTTCGCTCTGACACCCAGCCTGTTTCTAGACAGTCTCCCCATTTCCATCAACCCATGCTTATAGAAGGGAAAACCATTGTCCTAAGCCATGTGTTCTTGAGAGGAAAAGTTTAAGTCAACTGTAGGAAAGAAAAGAAGTGAATAGTAAGTACTGGTTCATTTTCCTACCCAACTTTTACGGGTAGTGACTCCGCCAATAAATATGCCCCTTTTGCTGATAGATGCCAAGCGTTTCAAACTGAGCTAATCAGAATATACTGCATTTCTCGGCAGATTTCACACATTGTTTTGCCAATCACACAGCTAGGTTTAGGATGCAGAGACAGAGAACTGGTTCCTCATCTTTCTTTCACTCTTGAGAGCTACAGATCCCTGCCCAATCCTGCCTCGCTCCCCACCACCACAGTACTAAGCTCAGTTCTGGTCATTGGTTTCCTGTCCTCGTCCTCCATCTGACCACTGGGACAGTCCTTCAAGTAGGCTGCAGTCTGCTTTGCCACTCAGTGTCTCCTGACAAATCTTTGCCACCCTCTTTGTTCTTTAGACAACGTTATACCTGTTGTTTCCAGAGAAGCATCTCTGATCTACTGCCCTACTCAAGGGTTGGGGGCAGCATTAATCACAACTCTGAGCTAGGTAGGTTGGGCACAGTGGCTCATGCCTGGAATCCCAGCACTTTTGGGAGCTGAGGCAGGAGGACTGCTTGAGCTCAGGAGTTTGAGACTAGCCTGGGCAACTTAGTGAGAGATCCCATTTCTATGAAAAAGAAAAAAAAAAGAAAAACTCTGAGCTAGGGGTCTATGGGCTGAACTGCACTATTTTCCAATATGGAGGTCTGGAGTTCTAGAAAAACTAGAAAACTCTATAAGAAGTATAGAGGTAAAATTGGGTACTAATATTTTTAAAATCATTTTTAATCTACTAATGCCTAATCTTAGCATTTCCAACTGTTAAAATTATCAGGTATTTCAAACAGCAAGACGACTGAACCTGTTTCATTCCCATAGTAAGTAGCATTTTGGCAAACCCTCTTCACTATACTATCCTGCCTAAAAAGACAGCCTTCCAAGGAGGGTAGAAAGTGCTCTTGGGGTTGGGTGTGGTGGCTCACGCCTGTAATCCCAACACTTTGGGAGGCCGAGGCAGGTGAATCACCTGAGATCAGGAGTTCGAGACCTGCCTTGCCAACATGGCAAAACTTCGTCTCTACTAAAAATACAAAAAATTAGCTGGGTGTGGTGGTGGACACCTGTAATCCCAGCTACTCGGGAGGTTGAAGCAAGAGAATCACTTGAACCTGGGAGGTGGAGGTTGCAGTGAGCCAAGATCCTGCCACTTCACTCCACCCTGGGTGACAGAGTGAGACTCCATCTCAAAACAAAGTGCTCTTGGATAAACATTGTTTTGTAATAATACTGTTTCTTTTTATGAAACAGTATAATCTGATGATCAAGTGATCAGTAACATCTTCAAGGAAACTGGCAGATATATATAAAAAGATAATGACTCATTAAGTAATTTATCACATATAATAGTTTGAAATTCCAAAAGTACCTGAAAGGTATATAATTCAATTGTTTGTTCATTAATGCATTTGTTTATTCAGCCATTATTTGGATACCTACTATGTGCCAGACATTGTAGATGACACTGAAAAGTGATGAGCAGGATAAATGTACCTGCCTCCATGGAGTTTATAGAATATGAAGGAGAAAGATGATAAGATAACAATTATTTCAAAATGTGGTATTTATAGATATATAACTACTATAAGGAAGATTTTATTATTGCTGCATATCTTTTCAAGCCCATACAAAAGCATTTTAAAATAGTCTTAACAGCAGTTCCTGAGGATACAGTATCACTGTCAACTACCAGAACAACCCAAAATTGAGTCTGGTAGACTGACACATTTAATAAACAGATGTACCAGTTTTTCATGTTATCCTCTCCCTAGCAGGCATACTGATGTATATTCACTGTTTCCAAGCTTTCCAAAGTCATGACATCCCTGTTGCTCTGAGAGCAGTGTGACCAAGTCACATAACACTGTGGATCCCAGCTCAGAGGTACACAGTAGTGGCTCACTTGTGGGTTCCTCTTGCCTCCCTGTCCTCATGAGAGCAGCAACTGAAGAGCTAAGCCAGGTTGGGGGGACCCCTGATTGCCAGTCCCCTTACTGGCCCATCTGAGGCAACAGTTTCTACATCAGTGAGAGAAAGAAACTTAGGGAATATCCCAAAGCTCACAAATTGCCTTTTCCCAATGAAAAAGGAAAAGGTGCTTTCACAGTGCTTTATCTGGAAAAGCCTTTGTGTGCTTAATGATGTTTTCATGTGCTTATGATATCTCCTTGACTCCTTGGATTTTACATGGAATTAAAGCTCAACCATAACCCCCCATACACATTTCTATGGTCTTCCAGCTCTGTCATGACAGTGCAGTCAATCGCTATGGAAAAGTTTTTGTCTTGTCTTTTCATGTTAGTGTGAGAAATCATTGTGTTGAATTAGAAACACTGAAACATTGTGATTATAGGAAGAAGAGTTTGGTTTGAATACTCTTTTTTATTAACATAAGGAGGTCAAAATTACATATACCAGATGTGTTTAGCTCCCTAAACCAAATGTGTCAAACTGAAGCTTTCTAGAACAGAGTTTCTCCAAGTATTATGATGTTGTATCCTCCTCACTTTGGCTGTAGGAAGCTAAGATTTTTTCCCTTACTTCCCAGGACTCAGGTTAGCATTCCAAAAAGAACACCTGCAAAAACAAACAGAAAAAACAAAAAACAAAGCAAACAAACAAAAAACTCATCTCTTTGAATCTAAACAAACGTTCTGGTCTTTTATTTTTTTCATGAATCTTATGTTTAAATGAAAGGTTTTTTCTAATAGCTTTCCAGTGTGATAACCACACATCCGAAGAGAGCTAGAGACTTTTGTAAGCTTAAAAAAAATTTTAAAAAAAGAACTTTCCAAGGAGTATGATTAATACTACACCCCTAAGCAAGAAATTAGGTACCCTTGTATCTGACACATAGAAATGGGAAATAGGAATCTATAGGCAGTGCTCTTTTTTTGTGAAAGACACTGTATTGCTTCAGCTGTTTTTGTTTTAAAGTAGGGAGTGGTATCACTGTTTATTCTAATTGGAAAATACGTGAATGCTCTACAGGTCAAAATCCCAGGATAATATGAGACATTCTGTAGGGTTTCTCTCTTCCTTCTTTCCACCTCTCTCAGACTTTCTGGGAAACTTTTGCATATTCCCATCTAAACTCCAAAAACTGATATAGACTTTAGCATCCATCAATTTTTCTTGGCCCTGTTTCTTCAATATTCTTATTTTCCCCCTGCATTCTAGATGTTTAATCTACTTGTTAAATTAAGTAGCACAGAAATAGGACTGTCCGTAAAATAATCTGAAGGCCAAATCCATCAATGTGTCCTACATTACGGGCAATTAAGAAAATGGTAAGACTTAAAAACACTTAAAAAAGACTTGGGGCAGGTGATTCAGTTGGACTCTGATACTTCTCTAATTGTTGCAATGTAGAGTAAGAGGTAATCCTCTCAATTGTCCTTGGAACCTCCTTATAGTAAGTAGTCCAAACCTTGTCCAACAGTCTAAATGTTGTATCATTCTGTCTTCATGAAATTGTTGACGTAAGGTACTTTTTCCTTCTCTTCAGTCTGAGTATGTTTTCTCAACCTTGTACTCTTAAGAACCATTAAGGACTTGTCTCACATACTCACATACCCCCTTTAAAAAAAAAAAAAAAAAAAAAGAAGTTGTAATTTCCATTAAGCACCAGTTTTATGTAAAAGTAAATAAATTGTTTTTAAGTAAATAATTGTTTTTATAACATAAATTTGTGTTTTTCAGTTTTATTCTTAAACCATCAACATTTGAGTTACCTAGTTCTCTAGGCATGGGCCCAGAAATTTGCATTTTAGCCAGCATCTAGTTGGTAACTTTGCACACTCAAATATGTGAATCGCTAAATTGACAAGAAGCCCAGTATGTGTCTCTGAATTGGCAGTGTTACTTAATTCTTCAACTCTTCTTTTTTCTTAACCAAAACCAGTATATTTTCTGCAGTATATAATTTTCTTAGAACAAATTGTCTATTTCTGAATCTACATTTTAAAATCCACATAATTTTATCTATTATACCAAAGACGTTGGAAATAAAGGACAGAAAAGGAATACCAGCTTGGATTAAGATGATAGTGAAATCATAAATTGAGATATTGCTCTCCCTTGTTCTGTGGCAACAGAACTGAGAAGATAATGATAGTGAAAGCTCATGCAAGGACCATTCACTGGTGAAACGGTAGGATCAGTGATACTGCCATTGCCATTTCTCCCCCGATGCAGTCCCTTACACAGCCTAAAACCATCGACACTACCATATACTCTTGTTCAAAGCTGCAAGGGACCAGAAAGCACCGCACTGTCACGTTACTTCTTTTACTTTCCTGTTGACTCCTGCAGATTCGTAACTCGGGCTCCAGTGACAGTACAGTCCAGTTCATCTTCTATCAACCCATCATCCACCGATGGAGGGAGACGGATTTCTTTCCTTGTTCGGCGACCTGTGGAGGAGGTAATGGTGTTCACTTAGTCTAGAAACTGTTAGCTTCTGTGAGGAAATACGTGGGTATTATAAGAGTAGAGTTACTTCAGCGTGGAAGAAATTTTATACTGTGGTGGACCAGATCCTTTCTTAGCAGAGTGGAATCTCGAGGCCCTCCTGTAAGGCAGATACCTCCGCCAAGATGCCAAAGACATTTTCTGCCTGTAAAGGAGTCCCACTCGGGGAAACAGTCTTTTTTTTTTTTTTTTTTTTTTTTTTTTTTTGAGACGGAGTCTCGCTCTGTCGCCCAGGCTGGAGTGCAGTGGCCAGATCTCAGCTCACTGCAAGCTCCGCCTCTCGGGTTCACGCCATTCTCCTGCCTCAGCCTCCCGAGTAGCTGGGACTGCAGGCGCCCACCACCTCGCCTAGCTAATTTTTTGTATTTTTGGTAGAGACGGGGTTTCACCATGTTAGCCAGGATGGTCTCGATCTGCTGACCTCGTGATCCGTCCGCCTCGGCCTCCCAAAGTGCTGGGATTACAGGCGTGAGCTACCGCACCCAACCAAGGAAACAATCTTTACTTCTCACCTTGATTTTGTAGAAGGTCACAGCTAGAAATATTCTGATTTGGCAGCAGTTTGGTCCTGAAACAGGCAGGTCCATTCACTTACATGTAAACTACTCATGTAATTGAAGTAAAGTCATCTATTCAGCTATCAATTAAAGAGTGTTTATCAGGCTTACTTAATTAGAGAAAATAGTTTGCTACCGGGAAAAAAAAAAAAAAAAAACCTCTGCATTTTAGACTTAGGCTCAGTTATTTTTCAACTCCACCCCATCATCCATGCAGTAAAAGAAATGCCATTTGCTTTATTTATTCATTAAAATGCATCTCTCCTGAAAAGTCACAAAATAAACTCCCGTCTTTCTCCATCATATTTGTAACACGAACACATTTTGTGTTACTAGAAGAGGCGTTTGTGTTACCACAGAAGGTTATTTTTCCTCATTTTCTGCTCATCATAATTATAGTGTTTACATAATAATTGCATTGAATTATTTCCCAATAATTTATTTAGACATTTCCCTACAGCAAATCATTTAGTTCCTTTAACTTTTATGCTTTGATAAGGCAATGAATAACTTAATACCTAAGTATTTTTCTCCTTTCAAATTATTTTCTTGGTGTAAATACTCAGGACTGAGATTATTAGATCAAGGAATTTCAGAATTTTTATGGCTATTGGCACACATTATCAAATTCTTTCCAGAAGGATAACAATCAGTGTGTGAATATTTTAGATTCATTGCCAACTGAGTCAGTATTTGTGGATTATCGTTTTTCTAAGTTTTTCTAATGTAATGGATATAAAATTGTATGTCTGTTCCTTTGAAAATCAGCACATCAAATAAATTCTAGGTCTAGTTTCATAGAAACCAGTTAATTGGCTGACTTTAGCTAATCCACAGAAGTATCACTAGATTAATTTGACAAGATATAAAAGGATAGTACCTCAAAATGGAGATAAATGATTACCTATAAATTTTTGGATAACATTGTATGATGTAATTCATCGTTACCTATGTTTTTCTATGTACACAATGTGAACAAACCACTGAAAAATGTGGTTCTATGGAGCAAAGTTGGATTTTAGCTTGAAAGAAGTCAGTAGAAGTGCCATGAAGTACTTTTACTCAGTTGATAAAAAAAGGTCAATTCAACATGTTAAGCATTTCGATAGAATGAGTGTTTGTACTTGTTCCATCTGTCAGGAATAGAAAATCATTTAGCTGGCCAGGTGCAGTGGATCATGCCTGTAATCCCAGCACTTTGGGAAGCCAAGGCAGAAGGATGGCTTGAGGCCATGAGTTCAAGACCAGCCTGGCCAACATGGTGAAATCCCGTCTCTACTAAAAATACAAAAATTAGCTGGTGTGGTGGTGCGAGCCTGTAATCCCAGCTACTTGGGAGGTTGAGGCATGAGAATCACTTGAAACCAGGAGGCAGAGGTTGTAGTGAGCCAAGATCATGCCACTGCACTCTAGCCTGGATGACAGAGCAAGACTCTATCTCAAAAATAAAAAAGAAAATTGCTTTGTTTTAAAGAAGAAAATTGCTTTGTTTAAAAATGAACTGTCAATTACTTTGATGTTCCATGGGACTACATTATTTTGATATATTTACTAATGACTAGCATAGGAAATAGTTTCAAGGAAAGAATCTAAGGGTTTTTTTTCTTTTGTAAAAATGAAAACCATGCTTTGTGAGAAATAGCACTTCAATTATATGCACACATACAGCTGCTATTAGAGTATGATGTCAGCAACCTTGATAATAGTTCACTACATAATAAAAACATTATTCACATATATCTTACTTCTTTGGGCCTCATTTTCCTCACATCGAAATGAAGAAGTAGAACTATCAGTGGTTTTCAGATGTTTCTGGGTATCAAAACTTGCTTCAAAGGAAACCTTAATTATGAAGCCAGGATAAAAGGAAGACTGTTCTGAGTGAAGGTGTGAGGGATGTGGAGACCAGCCGTCCTTCCACTTTATTTTGAAATTTACTGAAGTTTCCAGCTTGAAAATTACTGAAGAAATGATCTCTAAGTTGTCTTCTCTGTTTCTGGTTCCAGATTCAACTGGTTGGTTATTTTGCTTAGTGTAAAAATTGCTACTCCAAATACCATATGAAACTTTAGAAAACATTATTTTCTGATGATTTTAGTCAGTTCCTTCATTTTTGCTCTAACCCTTCATTTTATCCATGCTATAATAGCTTCAAAGCAACAGGTTTAGGCTGACAAATTTTGATTTTGAAAAATAATCATCTCAGATTAATAACTTACTCTATTGTTCCTGTATTTTACTATGTGATAAATTCTGTCCCTGTGTAGAAATTATCTGGAAAATTATAAAATGATTAGCCTGTTATAAAATTAGATGCTTTTTGAGTATAATGTGATTGAAAAGTAAAAGTACATTTACTTACTTAAAATGTCATTTTGCTACTTGATTTTTTTATAAAACAAATATTAGATGGAAAAAGTGTTCTTATCCATTGCTTTCATTACTTTTCATGCTTTTCATCTTTATAGTCAAATTTTAAAAGGCCTTTTTTTAGGGTCTTTAATGAACAATTAATTTTTGTGGGTGGTCTGAGAACACAGCCTTAAGCCAGGAAATCTGGCTCATAAACCTCCTTCTGATTTCCTAAAATCTTTTGCAAGTCCCTTAATGATTTAAATCTTGCTTCCTAATATATATTTAGCAATAACAGCGCTCAACCCACCTGCTAGGGATAATATATTTGGCAGATTAATTAGGGTAAGAATGATATAAACAGCCTAATTTTTAAAAATTCTCTATGTACATTTATTTTTCACCCCAAGAATCTAAGTCTTGATTACCACCCTACCAGAAATCCACAGGACAATAAAAAGGCAGGTAGGAAAGATAAAACATATGAAGAGAATTAACTATTAGTCAACAATACTTTTTTTTAAGAGAGGCTTCTTCAAACAATGACAATTTGTGGGTGGAGGCTAAGAAATATTCACTAGAGATTTTTTAAAGAGAATGACAGAAGATTTTGAATATAACAAAAATGGAACAGTAACAGGGAGGTATTTTTATTAATTCTGCAGGGAAACAGGATTTGTGATGTCCACTGTTGGAATCTCAGTGGTCCATTTACTCAACCCACTCAGGTTGAATTTAAGCAAAAGTAATGTTCCCAGGCAGCTGGTGGGACCTGATCCTGTGCTGGCCCCTCATGTGCAAGGGGAGCAATGTGGGATTTATTTTGTTTATTTATTTGGGAATTTATTCTCCCTAGTGCCCCAGTTACTAAGGAGGCAATTTAGCATTCTTATATAAGATGGTTGGTAAATACTGATGATCTTTTTTGGATATAGAATTCTGCATTATATTTTTAGATCATATAAAAGAAATAACAAGAACAGTTCTTACCACAGTCTTATTATCTGGCTGGGCCCTTAAGTAGTTCAAGCCTAATTATATAATGTAATTATTAAGATTTGAGTGGATTACTTGAGAAAAGCGCAGTACTTGAGGTCTGCAAAAATTAATGAGCCTTCCAATTATGTGTCTTTTTTTCCTGGAAATGACTAAGGCATTGGGGAATAATTTCCATTGATATGAGCTGGCCAAAATGCATAAAGAAATATATTGCATTGGCATGTACATTTAAACTTGCCTGGATGGTTTGATACTACAGGTTATCAGCTGACATCGGCTGAGTGCTATGATCTGAGGAGCAACCGCGTGGTTGCTGACCAATACTGTCACTATTATCCAGAGAACATCAAACCCAAACCCAAGCTTCAGGAGTGCAACTTGGATCCTTGTCCAGCCAGGTCAGTCAAATTTGCTAGTTCATTTGTCATAAATATAACTCAAGTTCCAAATAGGTTTCTTAAATTAAAATGAAATATTTTCATTGAAAATAAAATGAAATGAAACATAAATAGCGTTGCTGTCCAGTGTCCATTACTAATCATGTATTAGTACCCATGCTTCCTGCTCTTGCTGCTATGCGAGGCCATCTCAGAGTCTACAGACTTTCCTTTTATAAAGCAGCAGGTGACATGCTCTTCAGAGTCATTTTCTCTTCTGATTTCCTTTCCTTCTGGTTCCTTGTTTCCTTCCTTAAGAAGGTCCAGGCCAATGGACCATTCAACGTTCTTAACCCATGTGATGACACAATGTTCTCAGGATTTTTTCCATTTTATCTCTGTTCCCGATCAGGGACATGATCAGAGCAGACCATATTTCAGGGCTACAGCTGATTCCTTCTAGTCTGTCCACACTGATTATATAGAGTCAAAACCAGCCTTAGAACAGTTCTGCTGCCTTTGAACATACTCAGTCTTTGCTAAAGAGAAAACAGAACTTATTCCCAGTAGTCAGATTCTTAAAAGGTCTTTTAAATTAGAAGCTTTAAGCAGGCACTTGACACTTTCACACATGATTATTTGCTTTTTGGAATCCACAGTTAGCCCTCAGATTATTTGCAGGGTCAAGAATCTGCCTGATGAATGAAATATCTCAGGTGATGAGTAGTCATGGAAGTGCAGGTCAAGAATCTTTTCATGGGTGTAACATTTGCCTTTGCAGTGACGACACTTGCTGGTGATTCTCTTTAGTATAGCGTCGCTTACTCATCCTCAGCTTATGAGAGAGAATATAAGAAAAGCCTTCCCCTACAAAAGCAATCAGGAATACCAAAAAACAAAGATTCATTTTCAAACTCCTTGGATTTTTGAGAAACATCCCAGTGTTATTTTTTAAAATCATAGTATACTAATGATGTATGCACAAAAAGAAAGCTTCAACTCGTTAAAATATGACTTGGGCAATGTTGATGCAAGTCATTCTATTTTGAGGTTACAAGCAATGCAATTTTAGTTTTTGTTTTCTGCTGTTAATTTCTTAAGGTGTGCGTTCCTGTACTCTTCTATCTTTACATTTATGAATGCTAAGTTCTGCATGTGATATGAAATTGCTGTTATTAATTAATTCACAGGAACCATATTCCCTACCTCATAAAAGTGAACTCAGAATAACAGGTTTTCATTAAAGGAACAAAAAGAATAGATACTTTATAACTGTAAAATTTAGGTGAAGTTTAATTTAGCATCATATTACATCAGAAAATTATATATTAAAAATTGGATACAATATAAAAACTGAATAAGGTGTTGAAATTGTGCTTGGATTTCTTTATTTTGGAAATCTTAAGGGTTTGAAATTTTTTAGCCAAGATACTTATAACCCATGCAATTTGATTTCATTTTAAAATTATTCTACTTATACATTTTTTATGTATAACTGTAATAGGAAGAAGACCAGTGTGTGAAAGGCACAGTTATCCTAATTCAGACAGGTCGAGTCAGCCCTAGAGAGACCTTGAAAGTCTTTTACACATTTCCATGAAAATTTGTACGTATATTTCTAGGAGAAATGACAGTTTCACTTCCCACAACTTCATAAAGCTTTTTTCCACCAGGAAAAAAAAAAAGTCAATTAAGAGATGGCCATGGAAGAGAGTTATGTGAAATAAAAGCATTTTGTTAACAATTTGAAAGAAATGTTTATAATAATGTTTCCTCAATCTTTCTCGCCTCTGATTTTTACCCACTCTTGTCTGTTGGAGAAACTTTTTGGCCTATTTCTTATTACCCAAAGCAAAAGGCCATTCTACAATGAAAGAAGTCTGCCTGTGCAATTTCTACCTTTTCTATGTCCTGTGTTATTTTAAAACATTTAATACAGCACATGAATAAGTGTTGGGACAGGTGGCTATTTAAAAAAGAAAGACACAAAGAAAGATAAGTGAGAAAAGGAAAAAGAAAAAATAGGCAAATGTCCGGAAGCTGCTTTTTTTGTTGAAAAAGTAATTAGACAAAGCTGAGAAAATGAAGACTTAGCAGTAAAAAGGTCTAAGGGACAGCTGCTTCAGAAAATATAAGTATGCTACTCTGAGGTTAAGATACTTCAGAAATTGCCGTGAAATTCATTGAACTCTTTTGCATACCTGTAATCAAAGCAACACTTCTGAATTCTAAGAGAAAATGCAAAGTGATGGTCTACGCAAAGTAGATAGAAGAGACTCCATAAAACAGATCTGCTCTTCCATCAGCCATTGCAGAATCAAACCCTCAGGAAACTGTTTTTTCACTCAGATTTAATGGTCTAATAGTAAAATCAAGAGCGAACAATGACATTCCACCAACACTTTTGTGTCCAAATTTAGAAATTCCCAAAAGGGAAAACCAATATTCTTGGTATAAAATCACATATTTTTAATTTCAAAAGAAATTTATTATATCTAGCCACTGAGATATTTATTCATTTTTCCTGAATCACACTAGGATTTTTACCTATTATAGTATTTAAAAGTAGAATCACTTGTAGTAAGAAAAGAGAAGGAAAAAAATTTTTAAATTTTAAAAAATTGAAAAGCAAAGTCCCAGTTAGATAGCCAACTTTATTCCATATCAAGGCTTGCAAGTGTCATTGACAGCAAAAACCACATCAAACAATTAAGTCTACAACCTTATATTTATTATTTTACCCTTCTGGGCTTCCATTTTCTCACCCACAAAATGGGAAGAGAGGGTCATTTGTTGTCAAATTAGTGGTTTTCAAACTGTGCCCACAGAGCCTGTTGTTCCACCATTTTTTAAATTAAATTTTGTTTTATATATTTTAAAGTTTTTTAAAATAATAATTCACAAAAAAAATATATTCAAATATGTTAAACTAATTTTAACTGATTCACACTAAGTTAAATTATAAAAATTATAACAATTTTAAGTGTTGTACTACCAAAGTAAATGCTTTTGCCCTCATGATTGAGTTCCTTGGTTATGTCTAGTTGAAAAAATAACTACCCTAAGATTGCAAGGTAAGCTGTAAAAACAGTTTTCATTACCAAACACTCTCTGTGATAATAAGAATTTTCTTATTACTACATATCTAAAACCAAAACAAAGAAGAAATAAACTAGACATGGCCACCGGTAGCCACAATACCTGATACCTGCTTTTTGTGTTTACCAAAATAGCTTCCCTATTCTCATTATTTTGCTTTATAATAGGTAAACAATTTGTTTTCTTATTCTTGACTTGTATTCTAGTTGAAAATGCTATGTTATTAATAGTTATATGTATTAAGAGCATTTTCTCTTAGTCTGTCATTTATCTTTTCATTTTCTTCTTTTAAAAAGTAAAAGTTGTAAATTTTGTTTTGATAAGTAAAAGTTTTAAATTTAAAAAATAATAATAATAATAGGTAAACATTATACGTTTGAACTAATCAACTAAAATCATAAATATCATCCGCGTTGGGTCTATATATGTTGGTCTTTTACACAATATAAAGCCTCCCAATGACCAGGATGTTTCTAGTCACTGCATGTAATTGTATCCATGCTCCCTTCCAACTTCAAACTCAATGACTATAAATATCAGTCATTATTTTAGTTTTAGGAAGTTTACAACAGCCTCCTAAATACATGAACAAATTCTAGGAATTGTCTGAAATCAACAGAGGACGCAACCAGTGGCATGGAGGGGTCTCAGGAATATCTCACTCCACACATCTGTCTATTTTTTGGTTCTCATTCTGTTTTCCTTTTGTTCCCACCATCTTTTTTCTTTACTTTCCCATCTCATGTTTTGTTCCTCCTTCTTACACTCACTGACAACATCCACTGGCTTCCATGGTGGTGGATTAGTTCATCTACTAGTTCTTGAGACTGGAGAGATTGTTGACATCTCGCCTATACTCTTCAAAATAATTTTTATGTTTTTATGGCTTTTTTGCTGATTCTAAGTGCTAACTTAGAAATGTTGATAAGTTAAAAGACTATAATGAAAACAATGAACTCACTAATAATCCCCAATGCCCGCAGAGAACCTCTCTTAATGCTTTTGCTGTATTTCTTTCCAGTCTTGTCTATAGCTCATAACATAATTGAGATCATACTTTATACAGTAGATACTTGGCATAGAATAACTTGGCATTCTTGGTTTTCATTCTTCTAAAAGCAAGCCTGAATATCCATGACACATAGTAACTCAACATTGTGCTGAGGTAGGAATTTAAGTCCACTGGACTATAAGACCAACAGTTGAGCCTTGCTGGCTGCCCAGCAGTTTCATCCCAAGAAGGCTTTGTTGCTCTCTGCTGGTGTCATTTACACAGTCATTTTTCTGAAGTGATAAAACACTTTGTTTCCTGGCCAAAAGTTGTCTCAAACAGGGAGCCAAAATTTAATCCTTATAAGGGAAGTGAAGAGAAAGTCAAGTATAAAGATTTAATGACTTTTAGCTAAAATTAATAAGGTTTTTCATTAGTGACTCAGAGCTATGACCTCACTAAGCCCATCATATGCTCTGTACACAGTGTATTACATGTTCTACTGGTAGTCCCAATGGGCATTCCCAGAAGTCCAGAGACATACCCCACCTGCATGTGAGGGATCTAGCACATGTTTATTTTCTGCTTCATACATTTAACACTATGTTCTGTGTGCTTTCCCATGTGACTAAGACATTTAGGATCTAGTCAAATGTAAAATCCTCTCTTGTGCCTACCACGGTATAATCAAAGCTTCTGTCTTACACTGGGGGAAATTTTTTTGGAATTTGTGCAATGATTTGTGGCATTTTTACCTCTTGGGTGAAAGGTCAGGTCCATCATGTGGCTAGAAAGCCTCAAAGTATAAGCCCTGTGGTTTAGCAACAACTAAAAAGGGATAGCATGAATTCAGCTAATAAGCACCTTGACGTTTTCAAAGCAGCTTTAGATGTAAAACATACAACATTTAGCCTTACATATCTTAGTCTGT